TAATCAGGGTTAATTAGCTGAGCCGGCTTGTGAGTAAACAGTTCTGCAGGGCAAAAATATGCTCGAGGGATGGAAAATGAAGGGAGGGCAGCGCGTCGCCCTCGTCACCTCCCTCTTCCCCAGGGCTTTGCAGAGATCCAGAAGCTCCAGGGCTGTCATTTGCTCGCTGTGGCACATGGGTTGTTTTTGTTGCTGTTGCGCCTCTGCAACAGCCGTTTGGCTTCTCCTTTGCAAACGTTTCTGAGCCAGCAGCCAGCTAGAGAAAAGTAAGAGGGAAGGAAGCGGGTGGCGGCAATTCCTTTCAGTCTTAAACCTCTGGTATGTTGCTTCTGAAGGTGGAGGCTCCATTGCGGTTTCCATTGGGGCGGAGGGCTGTCAGCGGGGCCTGTCCTCCATCATAAGAGATCCAGATTGAAAGAGCAAAGGTGAGTTGGCCCACGGGTGCCTTCAGCCCCTGGAGCAGGGTGAATCCAACTTGTTTTCTCCCGGCTGGTCATGCAAAGCCGGTTTACTTCTCCGTAAGTCTGCAAACTCCTCCTGCAAAGGAGACAAGACAACCTCCATTTCAATCATGCGCTGCAGCCGGGAATGCAGTGGGAAAAATGCATCTGGATCCTTGGGGATATGGACTGTATCTTAGTCGTACCCTCCGGATGAACCCAAGACTTCGGCACGTGTTTTCCCCGAACGCTGCCTTAAATATTATTCTTTCACTCTTGAAAGCAGAGTGGAAAATTCTCACATTGACAGCACGCCTCTCCTTCCTTTCTTTTGATTTATTGAGATGCCATGGAAAACATGACATCATGGATGGGTTTCTGTATAATGGGGAGAATAGAGAGGGCGGAACGCATTCTTTTGTGTAGAGCTGACATTTTCTGATTGTCTTGACTCATGTTCAATTTTTAACAGTTTCCCCCCAAAATAAGAATCTCAGTAACCTCCTTACCTCTGTATGTATGTTGATTTTTGAAGGATTGGCTTGCATAACCCTGTTACCCACAGTTGGGTAAACCATGGTTTTCTCAGTGAACCAATTTTCAGGGTTTGCATAGGATCCGGTACCATAAACCTAAGTTCGGCCCGTGTCCTAAAAGGCGATCAGCTTGTGCTCGTGTGTGCCAAGTGAACCCAAAACGTGCAAGAAGAATATTCAGTTATGGCCACCCTAGTTCAGTCTGGGGGTCTTTGGGTGGATAGTTGTCAGTCACCCCCAGACCAACGTAGGTTGGGGGATGATGGGAATTGAAACCCAGCACAGGTAGAAGGGAGTTAAGGAAAAGTTGCACTGATTTATTAGAATCTGCCAGACGATGGACCAGTTTGGACCTGGGGTGGATTTGACTTTTTGTTCTATTGATTTATTCCCTTCTGCGGACGTGTGGCTCCCTTTCTGAAGACCCCGATGCTGCACCAGACGGACAAAATGGGATTCAAATTAAAAAAAGGACAATCATTAATGACAGCAGTGCAACCAGCTCGATGGGCCAACAGTCACGTGTGAGCTTCACTCGTCCCAGATGCCCTTCCGAAGACCTTTCAGAAATATCGAGCAGGTGGCTTGAATGCCCGGAAGGGGCTGCTTTGAATCTGGAGGACGTGTTGTGACCCTTCACAAAACGGTTGTGGATCGCTCCCAAAAGAGCTGCAGAGCTGCACAAGCCCCCCGTTCGCAGGGGGGAATCGGATGAAATTGCATCCAGCCCGGCACAAATCTCGACACGAGACGGGAATTACCGTAACCTTCCTATTGGTTTCCCGCTTTGTCCTGTGTCGGCTACGGTGGTTGATCCTGGTTTGATTTTCATAATGACCCGCAGTTCTTAAAATGACCTAAGAGACTTAGCTGTTTAAAACCAAGCTCATGTTGTATTCAAAATATATTCTAATACGCATTCGAACTTAAATTGAGTTGAATATATTCCATTTTGTTCGGTTTCACGATGCTTGTAAATGTCTTGCTTCTTCATTAGGTGTTTTATTCTCTTTTTTAGTTCTTTGTCCTTTTTCCTTTAAAACGGGCAGTAATAATAATGAAGCGGAGAAGAAGGAGCCCTCTCCCCTTAGCTCTGACTCTTCTCCCGGCGGATGGGTGCCCTCTCCAAAGACCCTGGGGTGCATCCCCCCACCCTTTGGTTTCCAGGAATGCCATGTGTCTGGAAACATCCCTGGGAACCCAGGCAGTGTCCGCGGCTGTGACTTTGCACCATTTTTGCTTCCATTTTTATTTTTAGTTTAAGCTATTGCCAAGGAGGATCAGCGCAAAAGGCCTGGCCTTTGTTAAGGGAGTTGTCTGTGGTTTGCTCTGGACGACGTAGTTCGAGTCACTGGTTCGACTTAGATGTGATCAAGAAGGACTTTTTCTGTGGCTAGGACAGTGAGACCCATGCACGAGTGAGGATGTAATGTGGCTGCGAATTGCGCCCCTTGAGCCAAAAGCTTGTTTTGCTGTCTGTGGGGCCTTCGTTTAACCAGGGCGAAATTTGATTTTCCCCTCCGGAGTGAGACGGGTTGCTACAGGAGAAGCAGGTTGGATTGGGGTCCCCAGCAGTGGTGATGCCAAAATGTGTCCATGTATTTTCCAGAGGAATTTTGTTGGTGGGCCTAAGAAGAAGCGTGATGGTTCTTGGGAGAAACTCCGCTTGCTTTCCCGGCTTCAGCAGCTGAGGGTTATCCTGCCTTCATATAACTGAAGCCTCCATTTTTGGCCTGCAACCACTGAGGAAATGAATTTGTGGTCTCATCCCGTGCAGAATCCTGCTCAGACAAAGCATCATCAACCAGAGAGCCATGTTTCATGGAGCGGATCCAGGTGCCCCTAAAGCGTTGTCTTCTTTCTTTTCAGCTTTCCACTGACTGTGTCCAAAATGACTTCAGAGCCAGCTTCAGCCCACCAGCGCTCTCCGTCTCCAGGAGCTCTCCATCTGCCAGAAGGCCGCCGGACCAGGGAACGTTCTCCTTCCCCAATGAGAACTTATCTCATCCCAAGTCCGCTGCCGACTCGGAGGAACCGCACGGTTTCAGCGTGAGTATGGAGGCGAGGAGGTGGGATCATGGGTGGGGAGGACGAGAAGATGTCTAGGAGTCCTTCCCTCGTCTTGAATTAGCATAATTTCAGGGGGCACCACATTTTCCTAACAACTGAAGTCCACCTTGGATGCTCTTCCGTTGAAGGGCGCTACAAATATGATGTGCATTAAGGAGGGAGGGCATCTTGAGAATACTAAGTTTACGACCTGTCATTTAAAGTTGAAATTGATCCATCAGAAGATTCTTTTTCGTATCAACTGGAGACCCTCTAGAACGGTGTTTCTCAACCTTAGCAACTTTAAGATGGGTGGACTTCAACTCCAGAATTCCCCAGCCAGGATGCTCCTCATTTGTGGAGGCTGCAGTGTCGCTCTGGATCAGCAGACTGGTCTGTCTGCAGGGTCACTGAGACGTTAGTCATCCCTAATGTGCAACTGGATCCTAAAAGACGTAAATTGAACAGGGGAGCATCATCTCTTCCATGTGCATGGCTGGAAGGTGCTGGGACTACTTTGGGTAGACCTCTGCCTTTAATGCTGCCTCTTTCACAGGAGGCTCAGCCTCAGTTTTGTGGCAAAGCAATCTGTGAAATGGGATGATAGATTATTCAGCTGCTTCATCTGGCAGGATTTGGGGGCAGAAACATAGGGTCTCCTCACAAGGTGGATCAATCCCATTTGGAAGCAGGTTGAAAGAGTTTGGGGAGTCGAAATCTGACAAACCTGGAGGACGCCAGGTTAAGGAAACGTAGGCTGGATTTATAAGAACGCTCTGTATCTGGATGGACAAGGCACAATGGTTGTGTTCACGTCACCTGAACCACATAATGGTTTGACACAATGAAATAAATGAAACAAACAACCCAACTCTGTTCTGTCCAGGTGTGTGGTCTGAATGCAAATGATGTCTGGTTCCAACAAGCTGGATTTGCACTTGTGACAAAGAAACGAATTAGAGGTGGTGTTTGCACAACGTGCTAGACTTAACATTAACTGACTTAGCTGGGTCTATTGTCTGAACACAGCCTGAGTGTTAAGATGAGGTGTGTGCTGCGAGCAATAGTGAATGCAGTGATTTTATGATCAGCCCACAACCTCCATTTTGGGATTGTTTTCAACTGCTGCAAATCTCATGGCTTAAACGTCTGCGTTAATTTTGAAAGGCGTTTTGCTTCTTCCCTCTCTTAACATCTTGCCTAATGAACAGGTTGGAGATCTTGCAAGCTTGTAATCCCTTTTGCACCATTTTGGTTGGTCCAAATAAAGGTGTCGCCTTGTTACGGATTAGAGTTTCCCCCAACCCAGTTGGGACCAACCCAGGTATGATTCATTTGCAAGTGCTCTGGAGGTGATTTGCACCCAAGAGTAACTGTGACATCAGATCAAGTGAGAAGCATACATGACTCAGCCACAGGTGGTTGTGTCACAATTGCATCCAGGCCAGAAGCTGAAAGGTTGTGCAAGGGAGGGCGGTTGTGGACAGGAGGGAAAGGGAAGGACATGGGAGTCAAGCTGCTTCCAGCTTCTCCCTCTCCTGGTCGGTAGGAAGGGTGTGCAACCACCCTGGCACCTCCATGGCATCAGAACAACTTCGGTCCAGTAAGTCAAGGTGAGCGAGAACCTCAAAACTCTCAGCCAGGAGTAGCAACAAATCCACGTAAGAGCTCACAAGCTCAAGGGTCCCCCTTGAATGATGAGCCAACAGCTGCCTTCCAGCTTCTGATTCCTTCTCTTCAAGCTGCATTGAGCAGAGCTCGTGGCCCACATTTGAGAAATTTCAGAAGATGGAACTTGGTGGGAGTCAAAGAGAAACCAACCAGTGTTAGTGACGAAGGATGGCTGGGACAATTGATTTGAATGGGACAATTGATTCTGGTTTTTCTCCCTTTCTCATTTCTGATCTTAATGCTTGATTTATCTGTTTGTACATTTAATTAGATTTTTGGGTTTTTTTTTAAAGATTGCAACAACATTTGCATGTTTTTCTTCTCATTTCTCCTGTACTATTTTTATGCTCTAATGAATAGTTTTTGAAGTACTTTGTCCTGTGATATAAGCATTTTGGATCTTCTTTTCACAAATCTAGTCTTTCTATGTTGTTTATTATTTATCTCAAACTATAGCAAACTTGCAAAGCCCATTCTGCAAAGCCCACTGTTACCTCCATCCCCATTACCTTTTTGACCGATGGGATGCTGAAGCATTCTTGGGAAATGAGGAAGCTGGAGATCGCTTCTTCCCAATTTATTGTATTCTAGTTTTCATGAAAAGCACCTTTTAAGAATGACAGCAGATGGGACAGAGAATTTGCTGCACGCCAGGAAAGGGATCTGTGGGAGGTCAGTGATAGAGATGCCCACATTGCCTTCCTGGCCAAAGTTCTTGATTAGCTTCAGACCCAGGAGAAGTGGCACCTACCTTGGGCCTGTGAATGGTGGTCAGTTGGCCAAGGTGCATCGCTCTGCTTCCAACAAGTTTTAAGGACAGCCTGATTCCATCCAGTCAGGGCTCCATTTTGACCAAAGTTGTGTGTATGCTAAAATCACTTTTGCTGAGTGCGGTGATGTGGCTGGATAAAAGCAGACTCCCACAGAGCTTTTAGGAAGTGGTTCAAATGATGTGAAGAAATGAGAGAAAAGGAGCAGAGGAATGCTGAACTGCTACAAGAAAGACATCGGAGTCCTGGGAAGGTAGAAAGCGTGGGAAAGAGAGTCAGGACAATTCTGCCTTGATCTTGTTAGGTATAAGTTGAAGTAGAGAGGGGCTGTGTAGGCTTTCAAGATTCTGTTACGATGCCCTAAATACATTAAAGCATATTCCAAGACTATTAGCAATTCCTAGACTTTCCTCACTTGCTTATCTTGTAGGACTGATCTTGGGTTAATGCAAAGCCCGCCTTGAAGTTCTGTACAGGTCTACATCTGGCCTACCATGAGAATCTATGAGTTGGTTTTGTGATGGAATATGCCTTTCCTCTTCTATAATTGCCATTCAGGGACAGGGTTCTGCCTTAAAAAAGCAAAAACAGAACCCAAAAAGTTCTTTAAATCTAAACATATCTGGAACAAGCTTCTCTGTGTTTCAGCATACAAAATCTGAATTCTGCAGTCCATTTTTAGAATTCTTCCTCCTTTTGTATAATTCTGCATTTGGCTAAATCCTGCAGAACTACATGCCCTTCTAATTGTTGATCCCCATTCCTGTCTCTCTGTTGTTCTTTGGGTTTTGGAGATATCATCAGGCCTTGCCTACCTGTTTTCAAGCACAGGGATGAGATACTTGACTTTTAAAAACAATTTCTGAGATATTGAGGAAGCCAGCTTCTGCCCTTGTAAAACCCAATGAATGGCAATGGCTTTTTGTAAAGCTAAAGTTAAATTTTGGAGAGCAGAAGCACGTTAAATGGGGCATTTTGTGATCTAAACTGGTAGGAAGTCTTGCCACCTTAGAACAAAAAGGTGGTGTTAGAACTTCCTCTAAATGAAGTGTGGTCTCCCCACCCCAAGCTGAATAATCTTCTATTTCCTGAACAACTTTGTCTTCCTCTGTAGGACGACACGAGCCGCTGAAGGGCCCACCTACAGTGGGGTGTGTAAATGCTTCTGCCGATCCAAGGGCCACGGTTTCATCACACCTGGTGATGGAGGGCCAGATATCTTCGTCCATATTTCTGAGTAAGCAAACCTCCTCCTGGAAGCAGAGTCCTGATCATCTTGCTTTCTAGCTTTTGCATAATTCAGAATAGAGAAACCATAGTTGGAAGTCTACAGTGATATCTGAGGAGAGGGTTGATGGGCTCCAAACTCGATGTGTTTTCATTTCATTGATGGAATTTGAGCTGGTGGTGAACCATCAGGATTCAATCCTGAAATCACGTTGAAAATCTCAGGACTAAGGTCAACCAAGGTAAGGTTAAAACTGCCCTTCCCTAAATCTGTCATGTACCCGTAGAAGGAATACGGTGGATCATTTGGGTTGTTCCTCCTGCAAAAAAAGAAGAGAAGATGCAGGAGAAGATAAAGGAGCGGCCAGAATAATAAGCAGGTTCAGAGCAGTTCCCCTGTGAAAAAAAGAGCGGCGCTTTGTAGTTCAGATCAAAGGCACTAAAGGGAGATAGAGATAAATGAATTCATGCACGTGATGGGACACGGGGATAGAAATGTTTTCCCTCTTGCAATGTGAGAACAGTGGGCTCGTCCGTGGAAAATAATTGTAGGAACCGGTAAAAGGAAAGGGTCCTTTGCAAGGGCCTGAGTGAAGAGTGGCATGCACTGTCATCAGGTGATGGCTACCGATTAAATGGCTTTAAAAGAAGTCAGGAAACAGGGCTCGGTGGCCAATTCCGGTTACCCCGACCACATGCAGGGGGCTTTAAATGCCAGCAACAGTGGACAACAGCGAAAAGAATGACCATGCTCCTATCGATGTCTGTGACGTTTCTGAACAACCCTGGTTGACTGCTTCAAGGCAAAGAATTTGAGTGGATCAGCATAGGCTATTTGGTGTCCTCCAGAAGTTTGGAACACAACTCCCATGCTCCTTTGCCATTGGCCATGCTGGTGGGGATTGCTGGGAAGCCAAATCCAAAACTTCTGTGGACACTAAGTTGCCCATCCTTGGAGCAATTGGGCTCTTGGCCTTATCCAGCCTTAGGGCTCTTTTCATATTCTGGTGTTCAGACTGAACCAGAAGGTTGATCTTAGTGTTCTGGTGCACTGTGCGAATTGGCTGATGGTTGAGAAGAAGCTAAACCTGATGGAGGTGGCGGATGGGGACATATGACTGCTTTCTCCCTTCCATTAGAATAATTATGGTCTTCTTTACTTCTCTTCCAGTATTGAAGGAGAGTATGTCCCGGTAGCTGGTGACGAGGTCACCTACAAGGTCTGCACCATTCCGCCAAAGAATGAGAAACTGCAAGCTGTAGAGGTCAACATCACTCACTTAGCTCCCGGCACGAAACACGAGACGTGGTCTGGACACGTGATCAACTCCTAGAGGGAGTTCTGAAGCCATGTTGACTGAAGAGGCTGGACTATTAGATCTTGTTCAACAACCTAGAGTGACCAAACCTGAGGATTTTTCTGCAGATTGTGTCATTGAAAACAGGGTTCCAAAGGTGGCCAGATTAAACCTCTTTTTTTTTTTTAAACCCATGTTTTTCAAAGTATAAAAATTAATAATTGGAAAGGTTGTAGCGTTTGTGCTAGCAAGAAAGCAGATGTTTAGCTCTTGCTTTACAAATTGAATGTTTTCCCATTCGTGAGTAGGATACTCAAAGACCTTAGAAAGATTTAACCAGAAAAGGAAGAAGTAGGAACTGGCCCATCTCCCCAAACAGCATGACCTTGTGGGGGATCCTTCCGAAATCTGGTACCTTTCAGAACATGAACTTCCAACTTTGAAGGCTAGGCTGGCTGTGTATTAGGGCGCTTGAAGTCCCAACACGTCTGAATAGATCAGATTCAAGGAGGCAGCAGCTGATTAAAGATGTTCTCTGCTTTAGTATTTAGGTGCAACCAATTTAGGGGAATATTTCTTTGTTTTATATCAGAAAATTACTGATTGTGCTTAGTGCTGTTCTGAGTATTTCTTCATGTTTTGTTCTGATTAATTTCAGTTAATTTGATGCAAAAGGCCTGCTTTTGATTTCCCCCAGAACATTTAATGTCAGCTTGAAAAATATGGGTGGGCTGCAGAGTTCTTGGATTTACTGAAGTTACAAGATGGGTGTATAAGTCAGTCCCATCTTTAATGGTACAGATAGTCCTTGACTTATGACTGTTCGTTTAATGACACTTCGAAGTTACAACACTGCTGAAAGAAGTGACGACTGGTCCTCGCACTTATGACCATCACAGCGTCCCCGCGGTCACATGATCAAAATTCGGACACTTGGCAACTGGCATGTATTTACAATGGTTACAGTGTCCCAGGGTCCCATGATTGCCGTTTGCAACCTTCCTGGTTGACTTCCGACAAACAGAGTCAATGGGGCAACTGGATTTGCTTAACGACCGCAGCAAAAAAGTTGGTAAAATTGGGCATGACTCACTTAACAGGTGCGTCACTTAGCAATGGAAGTTCCAGTCCCAATTGTGGTCATAGGTCGGAGATTACCTGTATAGTCCTCCCCTTAATGCTCTGCAGGTTTTTGTGGGTTCCTGTATGTCCCTTCAGTCTGGAGGGGGAGCTTTTCTTGTAAGATCAGAAACTTTGGGCAACTAGGAAAGGGAAAGAAAACAGCACGGTCACCCTCCTCCACCAAAGTAATTCTAAAGGACCCTGGAAATGTGGTGGAAAAACAGAAGCCTCTTTGGCAGGGGGTGAACATTTCCAAGAAACTGGAAGACAGAATGGGGCCAAGGATGAGTTTGGGACGTGTTTTGATGAAGTGAGTTGAAGGTAGCATTCTGAGGCCAGAGCTGAGAGCTTTGCTGTCCTAAAATCCACTGGTCATTTTCTAGATTATTTTCCCTGCTGCTTTTCGGATTAATTACTAAAGCCAAAGAAATAGCTTGAGGGAACACCTACGGAGGATGCGTGTCATATAATCTGATATTCTTCTTGAATGTTTTAGAGAAACTAAAAAAAAGAGAGAGAGAAAAGGCTGCCTTTTCATATACATACCTTCCCTACATAAATTTAGTACCTGGTGTTTGGGTTAAATATTTGTGGTTGATGAAACTGCCTTCCAATTGCTTTTTTCCCCCAAAAATAAAACATAAAAAACAGCTTTTCTGGGGGGGGGGGGCTTACTGCATGCACCCCAACTGCCCCCCCACCAATCAAGCTTTGAAATTGTTGTGGCTTCTTCAACTGACAATCTGTGTTATTGCAATAGTTGCATGCACACACGTATTTAAAGCTTTGAGGTTTGTAGTTTGTAGCCAAAGTTGTGTTCATTTTCATTTCAAACGCTTTTGATCTTTGTCCAGCAAAACCATTGTTCTGAACAGTATTTATCTCTAACAGTTAGAAACTTTCGAGGGGAGTGGGAGGGAAATGAAATGTTTGGAATGAACTTCCCTCCTGGGGGTCTGCGTGAAAGTGTTACAGTCACTGACCAATGGCGGATAAAACATTACAAATAAAAGACTTGGAGTTTGCAGAAATCCGTAACTCTCCGTGCTGTTTCCCAAACAGAACACACGATCACGGAGCAAAGGTATCCACGAATTTTCTTTACCAGTTTGCAGCCTGATGAAAAAAATCACCATCAGACTTTCTTTGAAAGGAGGAGAGGATTTGGGCCTATTCCTCAGAGGCGTGCTACGCAATTGAATCTCGGGGCTGGGAGGGGTGCGGGATATCGGTTTTCGGGTGGCCCCCACCCTCTTTCCAGCCTCTCTGGTTTAGCCCTTGAATTAAATCTCAAGGAAGGAGATTAAAAGTCTCTTTTTCCCAGCTAGGAAGCGTGGTAGCCACAGGAAACAGAGGGTGCACCCTCGGCATCTCCCAACGAGAAGGTCCGGCCAAAAACGCCGCCATGCGAAATTCTCAAGGAGGTAGAAAAACAGAAGCCTCTTTCACAACCAAGAGCGGTGTTGAGCAATTGCCAAGGTAGATTTTGGCAGGGCTTGCACTGCAGCTGGTAATCGCAAGTTCATTTAGCGCCAGAAACCCGGGTCTCTCTTATCTGGGGACGCCGAGCGTGTTGCTTGTTGGCAGGGAGGGCAGATCAGGCACACGGTGACCCAGTGAGGCGTGCTCAGGTTTGCCATACGGTGCCATCGGGACCCATGCCTGGCTGGGAGGCGCTCTGCTTCCTTTTGATATCCCGTTGCTTGGTGAGTCAGGGTCAGTAACTTCCCTGGCAGCTGGCATTAAAAACATTGCTTAAAGGGGAACTGTCTAAATCCAGCCAGCCCACCAG